TATATATAGTATGTATTCATATATATACATATACATAAACATATATATATATATTTATTTATTATAAATTGATATATATATATATGTAGATGAATATCTATATATATGTATGTATGTATATGTATATATATATATGTATGTATGTATGTATATATATATATATTTATATACATTGTCCTTACCTGTCTCCTACGTTGAGCAGATGGCCAATGTGTGTCTTGGTCATATACGTGTTGTCGTTTACGCCGAAGTCGCACGCGCGTGCTACCTCCACATCCGCCAGAGCGTACTACAGGAATATACCAAATGATGTTTAACGTACGAATGTATTGAAAACTTAGGCAGAAAACGTACTCCAACAATCGATACGTATGCACCAAATAGGGAGTGATGTACGCATAGATTGAGAAACGTATGGAGGATACAACAATCTATACGGCCGAAACAAACAGAATACAACGTATGAATGGATTGAAAAACGTAAAGAGAAAACGACAACGATCGACAGGATCGAACAAACCAGGGACCGATCGGACGAATAGAATAGAAAACGTAGAAAACGTACTACAGCAATCAACACGATTTCACAAAGGGAAACGTACGCATATATAGGTATAGATAACGCGTACTACGACAATCGGCCAGAGGATGGCAAACGTACATGCTGATTGAAAACGTACACGCAGAGCAAACTACAGAGGTGACTCCAGGAAGGACGAACATAGAAAGTACAGCGAGTTTACGTACCAGAAGCGGTACGTAAACGGGATGCTCTTCTATATTCATACAGATCACTATGCAAGACATTGTACTCCAACGGATGGGCATGTGATCGTATGGCTTTAAACGGTTGTCGCCAGAACACGCTTGTTCGACAACTCCAAACAGACCGACAACTCTACCAACCACAAACGAGATAGATATAGTATGTATACCTTTCCCTTTCTTTGTCCAGACAGGTCTATATCCAAGACAATATATTCCTTTAACAACTACAAACAGACCGACAACTCTACCAACCACAAACGAGATAGGTAGAGTATGCATACCTTCCCCTTTCTTTGTCCGGACAGGTCGATATCCAAGACAATATATTCCGACAGATTGGCATGTGATCGCAGGGCTTTGAAGGGTTGTCGCCAGAACACATTGTTTGACAGCTCGCAATTTTGTAGAGTCTGGGGGTCCATCAGAGTTATGTTGGTACCTATCAATAGAACAACAGACAGTGCAAAGATATATATGTCAGAAGCCAATATATATATATGTATGTATATATCGTTTGAACGTTTTGCAATATTAGGGCTTCGAAAGTCTTCCGACCGTTTTAGGTTGGGGTTAGCTTCTTGTGATCGCAGAAAGAAAAACGTTAACCACCCACACACAATGCTATAGAATCAGTGAGTCCGTCCCATTAGTGTAATTCCATATCTGTAGGACAGTAAGTAGGACAAGAAGCGCTGCATCGACGTTGGCGAACCAAACCCGTGCCGATATACCACACCCCATTCCCCCCACAACATACCTACACGCGTGCAGATCAGCAGCTGTGAAATGGATCCCAGAGACTTGGCCAGTTTCTTGGGCAGGCACACCGCATCCTCCTTGCAGATGGGCATGATCTCCACACTCAGCGTGAACTTGAAGTTGGCTGTGCTGTTCTGTACATCGGATGAGATGAGTCGCTCGGACGACTTCATCTTGATGGGCACGGTCGATCCCAGGAAATCCACCAGCTGTCAACGCAACACCGCAAAAAACGCAGGAATGTCGATGAGTAGAGGAGTGAGTAGGTATAAATGACAATGCGATACGTAGAAGGCGTGATGGACACCGAAAAACTCGGTTGGGTTCGGTTTAAGTGTTGCCCTGATGGGGTTTTTTTTGATGTGTTGGATGTATTGGTTTATCAATAGGTGAAGACAAAGCAGCAATCACACATGTGTGCGCTACTGCGAGTATACGTACCTTTACAGCGTCACTGCGACTCTCGAAGTAGAAGTCCAATCCATCAGCGCACTCTTTGATGTTGACCGTCTTTGTGTGTGCGCCTGTGTGAACAGAACATATCGATCATACGTGTGTGTGTTACTGGGGTTAGTTTGCAGCGTGAATGTATGTGTATTGCACAAGATATGTGGTGGTGGGAAAGATATATATATATATATATACCATGCTTTAGAGCATCTTTAAAATGATATGTACTTACGATGCTTGATGATCAGCTGTTCCAGGTAGTAGAATGTACGCTTGTGATTGACCTTCTGTCTGAGCTGTACTACGGCATTCCAATGATCTTTGGCGGCGGTTCTATGACAATCGTCACACGTCTGATTGTGCACCGTGAACTCCACCACAAACTCCTGCAGAGACGCATATGACAATGAGAGAAAGGGTGTGTCAGAAGTATGCTACATACGTATGTTGTGGTAATATATTTTAGGCTCAAGTTTCTATAGAGTCAGAGGGTAGTGGTGCCAGTAATATACTACATACGTATGTTGAAGTAATACATTAGAGATTCATTCGTCTGAAGATGTACAGGAGAGATCGTGAGTGTGTGTCAGAGGTGTACTATATCCGTATGCTGAGGTAGTGCACTAGAGGGTTCATGCGTGTGAATCGCACGTTACAAAGTGAATGCGGCTGTCATTGAGTCCGTTTGTATCGTTTGATCTTTGGCGGTGGCTCTGCGACAGTTACCACAGCGTCTGACTGTGCACTGCGAACGCCATCGCCTTCTCCATTATTATAACAGGAGATATAATGTGTGTGTGTGCATGTGTGTGTGTACGTGTGTGCTTGCGCGCGCGTGTGTGTGTGCGGGAAGAATGTGTTTTCCGTATTCCTGATAGGATATCAGAGACGCGGGTGTGAATAATGTAGCATTCGAGTCCGCGAGATTGAGGATGTATGCGTGTCATCTCGGTAATCGTGGTACAGCAAAAACCATCGAAGGCCCGCTTGTGCCTTGCCACTGATTATCGTGCTCTCAAGTATAGTTTACTGAGCAGATCAGGTACAAACACATATGCAACCACAAACACACTTACACGATACACCCGCACACAAATATGCACATACACGGATATGATTCCACACATATATCTGCATCTATGCAGGTAAACCCGGGCGCAATGGTATACAAACACGTCCTCCGGCACACACCTGTTGCAAGACCGTATCCGCAAAGGCCTCCTTCTGAATAGTCACTTTGACCTTGATGCGTTTAGAATGCGGCTCAGTCCAGATGAAGCCTGCATCGATCAGCCGCACTTTGTTGAGACCTTTGAGACGCTTTAAACACAAGGCTAGCAACTCACGCGACTCTAAGTCACAGGCAATCCAGTGCTCTGGGGGCTGTAGATATCTAGTTGGGTAACAGAGGTAAATGTGAATATCTAAATCTAAAAATATTATATATATATATATCTATATCTATAATATATATATATATAGATATGTATATATATTATAGATATAGATATAGATATAGATACATATATACACACATATATATATATATCTATATCTATAATATATATATATATATGTATATATATATATGGGTGTGCGTGTAAAACTATATAGATTTGAACGTCTATATGAACAGCAAGGCAACCAACACACGAAGCAAATAGTCTATACAACTCCACATCAGGCACGACTCTAATGTGCTGGGCGGCACAGATATTTTGTCAACATGAGATGTAAGCACATGAATGTACAAGTATATACATATACATATGGATATTTATACAGATATGTAGATAAACATGTGAATGTTCATATTCATGTGCATATGCTTCATCATCATATACGTCAATCCCGGGATGATTCATTAATTTGATCCACCATCACACTTCACAGTCACAAGCACGGAAGAAGTACAAACCATCTACTGATGAACGATACTAAACATATACCTACAACCGCACACTCACCTCCTACTACAACTCTAGACCCATTCAACCCAGCTCCAGACATACCTATCGCAGCCACGGCAGAAGTAGATAGTCATCTGCTTGGGAATGCCCTCAGTGATATCCACGCGTGAGCGGATACACGGCACACACATGTTGGCATCATTGGGTGCGATGGATGTACCGCAGATGCAGCACAGACTGTGTGGGGGTAATGGGAATGATAGAGATATGGTTGATAGATCAGTGTATGTACCACAGATGCAGCACAGACTGTGCGGGGGTAATGGGAATGACAAAGATATGGTTGATAGATTAGAGTATGTACTACAGATGCAGCACAGACTGTGTGGGGGTAATGGGAATGATAGAGATATGTTTGATAGATCAGTGTATGTACCGCAGATGCAGCACAGACTGTGTGGGGTTAATGGGAATTATAAAGTATGGTTGATAGATCAGTGTATGTACCAGAGATGCAGCAGAGACTGTGTGGGGGATATGAGAATGATAGAGATATGGTTGATAGATTAGTGTATGTACCAGAGATGCAGCAGAGACGATCAACTGAAACCGAAGAATAAACTGTGCATCAGTCTTCGGATGCGTATATACTTCTGGGAGTTTATCTATACGCTGAATACGTTATATACAATATATGTGAGAATGAATTGTATATACATCGATACATTTCACTTGAACATACAAAAAGTAACATATGTATATACCTGTAAGCATATATATATATATATATATATATATATATATATATATATATATATATGTGTGTAGTATAATAATATACTAACTTAACTAATACGTAGTACGT